CTGGGTCCTGCAGCAGGGGCTGGCACTGCTCTGGGTCCTGCAGCAGGGGCTGGCACTGCCCTGGTTCTGCTCTGGCCAGCTGGAACCCCCCAGCAGGAGCTGGATCCTTGGGTTAATGAATGATGGGCTCTCCCTGTTCTCCTTCAGGAACACAGGGGTGAGGGTGGCACAGGGAGTGGGGCTGGGGCACAGCTGGGCTCTGAGCAGGGCCAGAGAGCACCAGCAAAGGAAATTATCCCCCTGCAGGAAAACCCAGGTGCAAGATTGTACAGGGACACCTCTTCCTTTCATGCTGTCCCAGGAATCACAATCACACCTCTTCGGGACATAAATTTAACATATTTTAACAAAGAATATGTCAGTTCAGAAGAGAACAGGAAGGATCTGTAAAATCTGAGAAAGAAAAGCCCCTGTTGAAAGCAGAATTTCCAGGTAAGGTGGGACATTACTCTCTCCAAAATCCTTCCCTTTCCAGCCTCCTCCTGCCTCAAAATCAACACAAGCCCCTTGGTGGGTGCAGCACAGAAATGAAGGCAGGGCCACGTGGCTTCTGTCACAGCACACCAGAGAAGGTGACTGAAACCATTCCTACTGTGCTAACATTCACTGCAGGTCAAGGTCCTCAAAAATTCTCTGCAGGAAATATTTAGAGCTCGACCCTTTACAATGCTCCCACTGAATTCAGTGCCCCAGATCTCCACAGTCAGAGGCTTTAGCAAAGTCTCATTCAACAAGAAGCTCATGCAGGGCTGAGCAAGTCAAGGAGAATTTTGTGTGCTGCCACCCTGAAAGTGTTCAGAGTTTGGCCTATTAATTTTTAATAATAAAACTAGTCCTCCCTCCCTTTTTGCTCATTGTTTTTCTTTGTCATTTCTCAGTGTCTCACATCTCTGAAATACTCCCTAGAAATCCCTAACGAGATGAGGAATGTCATTAGCCATGAGCCTGCCAGGAGCATGGTGAGGAGGCTGCAGGATCAGGATATCAGGGGATCTTCTGCCCTCTTCAGCAGGGCTTTTACTTTTTCTTTGCCTGCAGGAACTAATCCAGAAGCAAATGTCACTTGAACAGAAATTAAGTTCTGCCACAACTGGAACCACAGCAGGCCAATTAGGGTAATTAGAGCATATTTGCTACACTTCATAAATATTCATTCATTATCCCTGCAGCCCTTGTGACAGGAGCTGGAGCCTTGTGCAGCACCAGAGGCAGGCAGGGCACAGAAACCTGTGTAACTCTGTCAGGCTGAGGTCTCAGCTCCTCCTTTCTCAGGTCCCCTCATTAATGGCAGCAGCTTTGTAGCCATCCTTAATTATGGTCATAATTTAACTCGCATATTCAGTGTGGGTCCAGAAAAACTGGGCTGTAAACCACAATAATTAGCCTGCTCGAGGGACAGACCTGGAATATAAGAAATTCCCAGCCATCATCTGCAGATTGGGATTTTTTAAAAAACTTTACAGCTCATTTGACAGCTCTCAGTCATGCAAGTGAAGTGGTCAGCAAGATAATAATGTTTATCTTTTTGTTCAAGATAACAATGTAATTTTAATGGTGCCTACCTCAGGAAGAAAGTAGGCACCAGCACAAATTTCTATAGTTAATTCTATAGAGAAAGGAAGTTTTGACACAGAACTGCTGAATGATAAATTGAAGTGCTGCTCTCATTCTCATTACTGATGCACCTCATGTCACAAAGCAGCTGAGAGAAATCATCCATAACTTTCACAGGCTCCCAGGTCAGCCAAGGAAAAGATGACTCAGTTTCTTTCAGTCATAAAGAAAAGCACATTTTGGGAAATCGATAAATATTATCCTCATGCAAACCAAAGGCAACAGCGCAGTTGCAGGTGACTTTAATTTTGGAGAGGAATATTTCTGGGGACAGCATCTGTGAGCAAAGCATCTCATGGCAGAGTGAGGGGAGGCTTCCAGAAACCCTGATATTGGTTTGAGAAAACTTTCCTTTGAGAGGGAGCTGGGGAAAGCCACAGGTGCCTTTTGTCCCTGCTGCCTTTCCAGCACACAGCTGCAGTGCTGCAAGCACCTGCACAGCACCGTGAGGATTCCAGAGGAATTTCCCCATGGAAAGGGGGGCCAGGCCTTGGCAGGGGCTGCCCAGGGAGGTTGGGAGTGCCCATCCCTGGAGGTGTCCCAGGAAGGGCTGGAGGTGGCACTCGGAGCTCTGGGCTGGGGACAGGCTGGGACTCAATGTTCCTTGGAGGTCTTGTCCAACTTCAGTGACTCTGGGATCTGGGATGCTGGGATTCAGGGATTCAGGGATGCTGGGATTCAGGGATTCAGGGATTCAGGGATGCTGGGATTCAGGGATTCAGGGATTCAGGGATTCAGGGATTCAGTGACTCTGGGATCCTGGGATGCTGGGATTCAGGGATTCAGGGATGCTGGGATTCAGGGATGCTGGGATTCAGGGATTCAGGGAAGCTGGGATGAGGTACAATGACATTTTTGCACATTCCTGACAGGCAAAGCCAAAGGACAAGTGTTCCCTGTAAACGCAGCTCTGGTTATTGTGAATAATTATATTTATCACTAGGAGGGTGCCCCAGATGCCCACCTGGGCCCAGAGGTGGCTCCGTGCTGCTGGAAGAGTCAGGAATCTCTGAGGACCACCAGAAATCCGGGGAGTGAGCTGGTGCCTGGGGAA